GACGCCATCAAGGGTGACGACTCGGTGGAGGTGTTCCTGGAGTACCTCGGGAAGCGCTTTCCCGAAATCGAAATGCTGAAGACCCCAGCGCTGCTGGAGACCTTCGTGCGCCTGGCCTGCGTCCGGCACAAGTACGAGGATATCCGCGACTACAACAACCGCTTCAATGGGATCGCCACCAAGCTGAAGGCCAAGGGCATCCAAGTGCCCGACGAGGTCTTGGCGGACCTGTACATCAAGGGGGCCCGCCTGCCCCCGGAGCGCGCGGCGAGCGTGCTCAACGGTGTGGGCAACCAGTTCAACCCCACCAAGATCCAGGAGCAGTTGATGATCAACTTGCCCAAGGTATCGGTCGTGGACGGCAACAAGGACAGCCACGACAAAGGAGGCTACGGAGGTCACAAGAACAAAGACCACAAGCGGGCGTACGCCACGGAGACCTACGAGGAGGATCGTAGGGCCGAGCTCGACGGCGCGTCCTCAGACAGCTCCGACGACTACGAGGACGAGCTGCCCGACGAGCTGCAGGACGTGATCGACGAGGCGGAGGAGCAGGTAGCGTTCTTCACCAAGAAGATGGTGCGCGCCAAGGACAAGCTGAAGGAGGCGAAGCAGGCGCGTGGCTACTTCGCCAAGCGCGACGGCGGCAACCCGCCGAAGAGAGACGATCCCAAGATCGCCAAGATGAAGGCCAGGACACACTGCGGCGCATGCGGCCAGAAGGGCCATTGGCGCGGTGACCCGCAGTGCTCGAAGAAGAACGACCCTAACGCCGAGGCCGACATCCCGAAGAAGGGAAGCAACAGGACGAACATCGCCACGCACGAGACCAGCGACGCGCAGGAGCCTCACGTGGCGGAGATGACGGTCGCGGCGGTCTACCAGCAGGACCAGCGGGCCGCGGCTCGCGACAGGAAGTACGGCGCGCTGCGCAGCATCGACTGGACGCAGATCCGTCAGGCCGCCGAGCTACCCGAAGAAGTTACGGCGGCGGCGTTCTTCATCAATAAGGACCACCAGTGCCTGATGGCCGCGACGAGCTCGGCGCTGATCTACCTCAGCGTCGAGGACCTGCTGAAGGAGTCGGGGGGCAGGCTGACCTTCGACACGGCCTGCACTCGGTGCGTCGGCGGCCTCGACTGGTACAACGACATCAAGAAGAGGCTGGCCGCCTTCAACATCCAGCCCATCGAGTACCCCGAGAAGGAGCCGTTCCGGTTCGGGGCGTCGAAGGTGGTGTTCAGCCTCAAGGCGGCGCTGATCCCCTGTTCGGTGAACGGCAAGGCCTTCACCGTCCGCATGAGCATCGCGCGCAGCACCGTGCCAGGACTGTTCAGCCGCAAGGCCCAGAGCGAGCTGGACATAGTCTACCACGCCGGAGACAACAAGCTGGACATCAAGTCGATCGACGAGCACAACATCCAGATGGGCCTGAGCCGCGCCGGAAACCCGACGCTGGACATCACAGGCTTCACGCCGAACTATAAGCCCGTTTTGGACGTCTCGGATACCAAGGCCGAGATTCGTCTTCATCCTTGCGCTTCTTACCATGCGGAGACAGCTGTGGCCAGCGCCGCCAAGCCGGTGGTGCCCGAGGCTCGCCGCCCAGGAGTTGCCTCGGAGGCCGACGAGTCTCCGTCGGATACTGACTGCAATGCGCTCGATAGCGCCGAACTGTTCGAGCAGCAGGTGCGCCAGGCCATGGGCGCATACATTCCATCGCGTCAATCGTCATCGGGATCGGAAGACGAGACCTGGGGAGTGTGTACTAGGTCAGTCAGCACAGCACAGATTATGCAGACAAACCACGATCATGACGAACGGGGAGCTAAACCTCGCAGCGATACTCAGTCACGGCATGTTCGATTTCAGCAGCAAGCAAGCCGTAGCGAGCCACGAGATCAGCCATCAGAACGCAGTCATCAAACTACATCATCACCGCAGCCATCCGGCAGCGAGTACGACGCGTGCCGTGGCAGATCCAGCCACCGCAGCTTTTCACGAACCAGCGGCCGGCGCTTATGCCCCCGTCGCACCAGCGATGTACGACATCTCCCAAGGAGACGAGCCCGGGGGGCAGCGGCCAGAACTTGCCGATGACGAATACTGCCCGTCTTCCGGCGATTTCCAGCATGCGGATGCCGGAGCTGCAGGCCGAGGTGGCAAGCTACGACTTGGATGTGCGCGAAGCCACGTGCGACCAGCTCCGGGTGATCTTGCGTGCGCTGAGGGCCGAGGGCCGCGAGAGCACGCCGCAGGACGACTACATCCCGGGGCTCGGCAAGAAGAACAAGGAGGAGCTCCAGCAGCTGCGTCGGGACCGCCAGATCGAGTTCGACCAGCGCGCGCCCGTGCCGGAGCTCAGGCAGCGCCTCAAGGGCTGGAAGGTCGAGGACGCGGTCAGCAGTGCCGCGGCGACGGTGGCTCATCCGAGCTCACAGATCACCGGGGCCGACAAGATGCGCTTTGGCAACTACCCCACGGCGGACTACCGCTGGGTGCTCAAGAACGACCTGGGCTACGCGCAGTGGGCGGTCCTGGAGCTCAACAACAATCGGGCAAGCCCACCCCTGGCGCGGTTTGCCAGGTGGGTAAAGGCGCACGGAGCGCAGCCCCTTCCCACGGAGAAGGCGAAGACCACCTTGGAGGCAGTGATGGCCGAGGAGGTGGTGCTGGACGACGAATGGGCGGCGCCGGCGGCTACGACTACGAGTGCCTCAGGAAGCCAGGGGAGCTGGGCCAGGCATCGGCGCCAGCGACCTCCGGAGCCGCACGAGATGGACACCAGCGACATGGGCTTCGAGAAGGCGGGCGAGACCGACAAGGAGGATCGCCCGAGCGGCTCCCAGGAAACTCAGCAGAGCAGGGACTAGGCGGCGGTGGCCGCCAGGACGGGTCGCCAGCCCCGAAGCGGCGGTCAGGCATCAAGAAGGACAAGCGCGTCGGCCTCCTCTACCAGGTCACGGGCTTGCTGAGCGCCTTCGCCTTTCAGACGGTGCTCACCGCGGACTGGCTGGCTAGACCTCTCAAGCCCGTGGTGCAGCATGCCACCAGTGCTGCGCGAGACGTGGTCGACCACGTCCAGGACGTCAAGGAGGCCTACAGCGTTCGCAGCCACCGCGTGGACGTCATGCAGGTGTTCGGAGGCGAAGGCGGCATCACCGAGGCGGCGTGGAAGCGCCGGATGACGGCCACAGAGGTGATCGACCGCAAATACGGATGGGACTTACGCAAGCAGAAGGACCTCGACGCGACGTACGACCTGCACTACGCCTCAAGGCCGAAGTTCGTGTCAATCGAACTACCCTGCACCCACTACACGAACATCGCGCACCTCAACTTTCGGACGCCGCAGGCCAGACAGGCGCTCCGACGGATCTGGAGGACGGAACGGCCGTTCCTTTTATTGGCCCACGACCTCTTCAAGTACCAGCTCGACTCTGGCGACATGGCCATGATCGAGAACCCGGCCACCAGCCGGCTCTGGACACAGCGCGCGATTTTGGAGCTACTGGCAGATGAGCGCGTGTACCAGGTGAGGCGCGACATGCGCGAGTACGGAGCTCGACACTACAAGGCGGGGGGGCTCATCAAGCACCCCACGAAGCTGCTCGTTACCCACAAGGAGTTCGAGCGGCTGAAGCGCACCTGCAGCCACAAGCACCACGACCAGACCTTTGGGGACAACGTGGCGGTGCGCAAGTCTGGCGTTTATCCCGCTAAGTCCTGCAGAACGGTGGTGCGCATTGTGGAGCGGGTGATTCGCCAGCAAGGAGGGCACCGCGCCTACCAGGTGGACTGCCAGTCGCACTCGTCGCCCTTCATCGTGACAGTGCCCAGGGAGCAGGCCACCGCCTACGTAAACGACACCGCGCCCCTGGGAGAGACGGGCGAGCCTGATGGGGACCCAGACCCTATGGGCGGCGGAGACGACTTCGCCGACACTCACGACGTGCGGGCCGAAGATACTGTGGACGGCAGGATCGGGGTCGGCGCGATTACTTTCACAAAGAAAGCAGCGGCCTGCTGCAAGCCAGCCGAGCTGGCCATGCTCAAGAGACTCCATGTCAACTTGGGCCATCCGTCTAATGAAGATTTGGGCCGCAATATTGCGACTCAAAGGCGCTAAGTCGGCCACCGTCCAGGCCGTCAAGGGGCTGATCTGCGGGGTGTGCCGCTCGCAGCAGCGCCCGAGCGCGAGGAGACCAGCGCACCTCCACTTCGTGCAAGATTTTGGAGACGACGTCGGCTTCGACTGCTTCGAGCTCAAGGACGTCGACGGCAAGAGCTACTGGTACTTCAGCATCGTCGACCTGGCCACCACCTTCCATGTCGCGACGCTGATCGATCGCCACACCAGCCAGGAGTTCGCTGCCGCGTTCGAGAGGTGCTGGGCCTCCTGGGCGGGCGTGCCCGACCGAGTTCACTTCGACATGGAGAAGGGGTTCGGCGGCGCCCTCAGCGAGCTGTTCCAGTCATTCAACACGGTGCAGCTGCTCATCGCTGGTCAGGCACATTGGCAGCTCGGTCGCGTGTAACGCCAGGGAGCTTGGTGGAAGGAGCTCGCGGCGAGGACGATCGAGCACTCGTCGATCAGGGGCGAGGACGAGATGCGGACGCTGGCCATCATGGCATCGGGCGCGAAGAACTCGCTGAGAAGGCAAGCAGGTTTCAGCCCCGCGCAGTGGGTGCTGGGACGCGACCCCAAGATGCCTGGATACCTAGTCGACAACACGGCCAACTACAGCGCCCACAGCCTCGCGGCCAACGACGAGAAGATTCGCCGCCGATATGCCATTCGGACGGCAGCGCGCGAGCCGTTCATGAGGATGCAGAACGACGACCAGCTCCGGCGAGCTATGCTGGCTCGCGCGCACGGTGGCGACGCCCTTGTCAGTGGGCGAGATGTGCTACGTCCTTCGCCAGGTCAAGAAGAAGGAGCAGCGGGAGCAGCACAACCGCAACGCCAAGAAGGGCATCTGGCGAGGGCCGTGCGTAGTCATCGGCCACCAAGGCGAGAACACCTTGGTCTCGCTAGGAGGGCACACCATGCTGGTGGCCCCGGAGCACATAAAGGCACTCGCTCCGGACGACGTCTGGTTCCCGAGCGGCAGGGGCGAGATCGGCCAGGCCGTGGCCGAGCTCAACCGGGCTCGCGACTCGCTCGAACAAGAAGAGGCTCAGGTGGAGGACATCCGCCCGGCGTCTGGCGAGCCCGAAGCCAAGCCAGACGAGATGGAGCAGGCGTGGCGGGAATTCATCGACAACCCGGACGACAGCGACCTCAAGCTGAACGTCTCCGAGGATCCGCCCCAGCAGGAGCAGATCCAGGTGCCGCCCGCCGACGTGCCGCAACAAGCTGAAGAAGGGCGAACCTACGGCCCTGACGGGTTCCGACGACGTCGAGCTACCTTCGACGGAGGGGGCAGCGGCGACTTCGGCCCGGCCTTCAAGCGACTCCAGACCGAGAGGGAGCACGCAGGCTCTGGCGCCCTGCCCGCAAGGGCAACTTCGCGGGACCGCGCGGCGGCCCCCGATCAGGAGGCAGCGGCCGGGCCCGAAGCAGGAGGAGCCCGCCGACGTTCGAGGTCGGCTCCAAGACAAGTATTGCAAACCTCCATCGTGACCGAGAGGATCAAGCGCAAGCAGGCCGACAAGGAGATCCACTGGAGGGCCATCAAGGACTCTGATCGGGGGCTCTTCAGGGAGGCGGCCGCCAAGCAGTGGAGCGAGTGGCAGAAGTATGGCTCTTGTCAGGTACTCTCCATCGAGGAGTCCGAGGCGATCAGGGGCATGATCAAGCCCAGCCTCATCCTGCCCAGCCGGTTCGTGTACCGGGACAAGAACGCCCCGCTGCGGACCGACAAGCATCCGCTGCCGGTCAAGGCAAAGGCCCGACTCTGCGTCGGGGGTCACATGGACCCGCGCCTGGCTCAGGGCGACCTGCGGACGGGCGCGCCCACGGTCACCCGCAACTCGACCATGCTGTTCTTCACCATCTGCCAGAGGTTCGACCTGGAGATCTACGCGGCGGACGTGGAGGCGGCTTTCATGCAAGGCGACGAGCAGCCCGACCAGCAGCTGTGCATGGCCCAGCCTCGCGAAGGTTTGCCTGGGCTGAACCCGAAGCAGCTGATCAAAATCCTCAAGGGAGTTTTCGGGCTGGCCACGGCACCGAGACAATGGTGGGCGAAGCTCAAGAGGACACTGCTGGCGGTGGAGGAGAAGCTGAGCGACAACTACGTGTTTCGCCTACACCAGCACTCGCTAGACCCAGCGCTGTACTACGGCTACGACCAGCACGGTGAGCTCTGCGCGGTGGTGGTCGCCCACGTGGACGACCTGCTGCTGGGGATCTCGCACAAGTACCCGGGCCTCTACGACAGGCTTCACAAGCTTTTGCCCTGGGGCGACTGGCGAGGCTTGCCTTTTACCTTGTGCGGCAAGCAGGCCTGGCGAGATCAAGAGGAAGTACTGCATCTACGACAGACCGAGTACGCGAACACCATCGAGGAGATTCCGCTCAGCAAGGAGCGCAAGACGGACCTGTCGTCAGATGCTACGCCAGCCGAGTTCTGGACAACCGCTCCGCACTCGGAGCGCTCGGGTGGCTTTCATCGCAGACTCGTCCCGACCTGGCAGCTGGAGTGGCCATGGGGCAGCGGACCCAGAACAAGCCCACCATCCAGGACTTGCTCGAGACGAACAGGCTCATCAAGTTGGCGCGGAAGCACGCGGACGTGGGTTTGGAGTTCCTTAAGTTACGTGGACCTCTGTGCCTGGTGACGTACCACGACGCCAGTTGGGCCAACGCTGACGAGCCAGCTGAAGGCGCCATCTCCAAGTTGCTCGCCACGACCGTGGGGGCAACCAGTAAGGACAAGAAAATCAAGATTCGCTCGCAGGCTGGCTACGTAAGTTTTCTCGCAGAAGCCAAGCTACTACGCGGAGATCGAGCTCGAGCAGGAATTGTTGATTGGAGATCGGGGACCATCAAGAGAGTTTGCAGATCTACGTTGGCAGCCGAAACGATGTCGGCAGTAGACGCTCTAGGCTGTGCTCAGATTACACGCTGTGTTTTCGCTTCGCTAGAGATTCCGGATGCCCATCCAGAGGACATCCCGCCGAGTCTGTTGCCGCTCGCTCAGGTCACAGATTGCGCCAGCTTGTACGATACGATGCATAAAGACGGTTATTCCAAGCTCTCGTCAGAGCGGCGCCTTTTGCTCGACCTAGTGGGCCTCAAGGAGTCACTAGAAGAGGAAGTTAGCAACGAGTTTGTCGCTGACGACCAGCGCAGCCAACTACCCCTCTTTTGGGTTCCGTCTGACCAGCAGCTCGGTGATCAGTTCACCAAGCGATCGGACGGCAGTGCCATCAGGGCAGTGCTGCGAGACACACGTCTCGCTTTGCAGCATCAAGAGCCGACGGACCAGGCCAGAGAGCACGAGGCACACCTGACCAGTGCCGGCTCACTTTTCAAGCGCGCAGTGCGCCTGGTTTCATTTTAGCTCGTTCACGTGCCATCACCACGTCTAAATGCGCTATATCGGCAGATGCACAGATCAGAAAAATCTTGCACGAGTGTGAAATAAATAGTGTCAGTGCTGATCTGTAAGCAGTGTAGCATAGCATGCCAGCAAGCATATGCTCTTTCGTAACCATTTTGGCTCAAGGGCCCTTGAGCTTGGGCGTATCGGTAGACACCTCGCAGGTGCCGCTAAGCAACATCAATCGCCTATCATTGCTGATATCTTCGCAGGTACTTTTACGTCATTGCTGACAATAACAACCTCGCGGTTATCATCGCATTCAAACCCCTCACGCAGTATTGGGTCTGCACTCTCCCCCCCTCTCCCTCCCACTCAAGCATCTTCCTTCTCCTCCAGCGCCAAGAAATTCCCTGGATGAGTCAGAGTCGCCCAGAGAACTCCAGAATATCCGAAGGCCACCTGAAACCGTCGTCCAAGTCCTCACCCCCTCCTCGTCCTGATCCTCCTCCTCCTCCTCCTCCTCCTCCTCCTCCTCCTACTCCTCCTCCTCCGCCACCTCCTGGTCTCTCCTCTTCCTCCTTCCCTCCCTCCTTTCCCACCCTGTTTTCCTCGTGGACAACTCCTCCTGCCGCACCACCAGACGTGTTGGTGGGAAGAGCTGGGCGTCGTCTGAGATGTCCCAGCCTGCTTTGATCCTGAAGCTTGAGAAGTCTGGCAGTTTCAAGGGTGGAAGGGTGTCGTTTTCGAGATGGGGCTCTCGCACTGGCGCCGCGCACGCTCGACAGAAACAGTTGCAACGGGTTCACGTATGCAAGGGGCTTGTCATCAACATTGGGTTATCGCCGTAAGACAGCGAACATCAGTCTGATACGTTGCAACGCTACAAAGATTGAGGGGGGGGGGTCGTTTTCACAGTGGGGCTCTCGCCTTAGCGCTGAACCCTCAAAACCTGCAGCGGCTGGAAGGATGCAGTGCAGCGGTTCTTTGTTGAAAGAGGTCTCCTCGCCGTGGTTCAGCGCATATTCGTCCTACACGTTTGCAACACATGCAGGCATTGGAACGAGTACGGCTCGAAACGGGTCTCTCGCTCGAGATGTCCTCGTATGACAAGCCAGAATGCTTTGACAGATGCAGCAGCCGAACGGACGAAGGGCGGCTCCTTTGCAACATGGGGCTCTAGCTTGAGACTTCCTCGGGTTTCACAACCAGAAGAGCAGACCCGCGCAGAAAAAGGAGCAGCACGGAGGGGGGTCGTTTTATTTCGAAGCGAGGCTCTCGCTGGAACCCCCGCTGAACTTACTAATCGTACTCTGTCACACGCCTTCCGATACGCTACAGGGATACAAGGCAGTTCCTTTGCAAAGCGGGGTTCTCGTGTGAACGGCAGGCCCGGCGGGTATTCGTCTTTCGGGGGGGGCTTCTTGCAGCGTAAGACGTGTGAGGGAACTTGGGACGGGATAGTGTATTGCAGCATCGGCGGTGCATCCTGGAATTCCTCTGGTCCTCCTCCTCCTCCTGTTCCTCCCCCTCCTCCTCTTCCTCCTCTTCCTCCTCCTCCTCTTCCTTCTTCCTTCTTTCCTATCCGTCCTTCCTCCAGCTCCCCTCCCTCCTCCTCTTCACCCCCCTCCATCCCACTCCCAGACCCACCCCCCTCTCCCCCTCAACCAGTGCTCCCCATCCCTCCTCTTTCCTTCCTCATAGTCCTTATCCTCGTGTGTCTCATCATCGTCGCTGCTCTCCTCGGCACAGACAGGTCCCTGCCAAGCCTTGTCCTCGGTGAGCTGCCCTGGTATCCTGACGTTCGGCAGAACGGGCAGCGATCCGGCCAACGCGTCGGAGAGCATAAGCCTGAGGGGGGGCGAGGAGGGGCAGAAGAAAGAGGCAAACGCGGAGAAAGAGGATGAAGAGGAATAGAACGAGGAAAACAAGAGGAGGGAAACATAGAGGAAGACGCAGAGGACAAAGAGAAGGACGACGTGGAGAAAGACGGGGAAGGATACGATGACGACAACGAGGCATACGAGGAGACAACAAGGTAGGGAAGGAGGAATACTCCTCCTAACCCTGCCCGCACCAGGGGTACAAACGCACTAACAGGATGGGTCATGCCTGAAGCTCTTCAACCTCTTTCACACATTCCTCCTGCTCCCCCTCCCCCTCCTCCTCCTCCTCCTCCTCCTCCTCGTCATCATCATCATCATCATCATCATCATCATCATCATCATCATCATCATCATCATCATCATCATCATCATCATCAGCATCATCAGCATCATCATCAGCATCATCATCATCATCATCATAATCATCATAATCATCATAATCATCATAATCAGCATCAGCATCAGCATCAGCTTCAGCATCAGCATCAGCATCAGCAGCATCAGCATCAGCATCATCAGCAGCAGCATCAGCATCACCATCATCCGCATCATTATCATCAGCAGAAGCATCAGTATCAGTATCCTCCTCCTCCTCATCATCATCATCATAATCGGCATCCCTATCGTCGTCGTCGTTATCGTCGTCATCATCATCATCATCACCCTTATCATCACCACCACCACCATCACCATCATCAGCAACATCAGCATCATCATCAGCATAATCATCACCATCATCAGCATAACTTTCGGCATCATCAACGTCATCATGATCATGATCATCATCACCATCATCATCCTGGTCATCAACATAATCATCATCCTCGTCTTTCTCCTCTTCATCATCACTACCATCATCATCATCATCAGCATCATCATCAGCACCACCGCCATCATCAACGTCATCATCATCATCATAATCAGCATCATCATCATCATCACCATATCCATCATCATCGCCATCAAATCATGGCCATCATCAGCAACAACAACACCAACACCAACACCAGCAGCATCATCATCACCGTCACATCATCACCACCGCCATCCCACTCATCATCGCCTTCAACATCACCAGCATCATCATCACCACCACCACCATTACCACCATCACCACCACCACCATCATCATCAGCATCATCATCAGCATCATCAGCATCATCACCATCCTTATCATCATCATCATCATCATCATCATCATCATCATCATCATCATCATCATCATCATCATCATCATCATCATCATCATCATCGTCATCAGCATCCTCATCACCCTCATCATCAGCAGCATCATCGTGGTTACAACGTTACCAGCATCATCACCACCAATATTAGCACGATCACCTCTGTCAATATCACCATTTTCGTCCTCGTCGCCACTGCTGTGGCCATCGCCGTCACCGCCGTCACCATCCCCACCACCAGAACCCCCCTCGAACATGACTCGCCCCCACGCTTGCGCCCTGACGCGCGAGGGGCGCCAGAGGTACAAAAGATACAAGCCACGGGCGAGCAAATGAATCATGAGCAAGTCTCGGGCACAGAAAGGACGGCAGCACGTGGGGAAAAAAGAGGGGCCCAGGGAACCTCGAGCCCTCTCCGAGGCTAAAGTAGTCCGAACTCCAGGGCTTCGACTGTACGAGGTAAGCTGCTAGCACAAGGATCGCTGACGAAAAAGCGAAGCCACGTCTGTCCCCCAGAAGCGCCTGGGTGCATGAGCGCCAGATGCACCCCCATGTGAGGAACAGCGAGCCCCTTCCGAACCCGCAGGAAAACACATGTTTCAATCCTGCGGGGTATCATGTCGGTCCTTGCCAGAGGTTGTTCGGTCCTTGTGCCTGTCCTTCGAGGGGGAGGGTACCCTCTCGGAGGCCTCTTCGGGCCTTAGTGGGGGCCTCTTGAAGCCTCCTGTGGGCCTCCTGGGGGCGTTTGGGGGCTTCTAATGGTAACCCTTCTGCCAGCCATGGGTCATGGCTGGCGGCAGGATGACCAGTAGGTGGAGGAGGAGGAGGAGGAAGAAGACCAGAAGGAGGAGGAGGAGGAGGAGGAGGAGGAGGAGGAGGAGGAGGAGGAGGAGGAGACGAGGAGACGAGGAGGAGAGGAGGAGGAGGAGGAGGGAGGAGGAGGAGGAGGAGGGAGGAGGAGGAGGAGGAGGAGGAGGAGTAGGAGGAGGAAAGGAGGAGGAGGAGGAGGAGGAAGAGGAGGAGGAGGAGGAGCTGAGGAGGAGGAGTAGGAGAGAGGAGGAGGAGGAGGAGGAGGTCAGTGAAGGAGGAGGGGAGGAGGAGGAGGAGGAGGCGGAGGAGAGAGGAAGAAGAGGAGGAAGAGGAGGAAGAGGTGAAGAAGGAGGAGGAGGAGAGGAGGAGGAGGAGGAGGAGGGAGGAGGAGGGACGAGGAGGAGGAGGAGGAGGAGGAGGAGGAGGAGCTCCTCATGGCCATGGTTCGCCGTAGCCATCGCCATCAGCAGCATAACCGAACGCGGTCCGATCTCGTCTTCGGGCTGGGGGCGCTCGGGGCCGCCTCGTGGGCGCAGCGTTGGAGGCGGCGGCGGGGAGAAACGCGCGCGCCCCAGGAGGGCTCGGCGGCGGTGGGCAAGCGCGCGGGTCCCCAGCGGGCTGGGCGCGGTATTGGCGGTATTGGGAAAAAGAGGCCTTGGGACACACAAAGAAATGGACACACGCGTCCCAGGATGCCCCATAGTTTCTCATATATTATGCATGCTCATCTTCTCCTCGCTTCCCATATTTTCTCCAACATGTTCCTGGTAGTCGGCGGGCAATTGTGTCTGTGTGTTTTTTGTCCTTCCTGGCAGTGGTCAGGCCATGCAAGCATCGGGCCGCAGCGGATCGTCGGGGTATCCTGGCAGCGCGCGCAAGGGGGGGAGCGCGACAGGGGCGGGCGTCTGGGAGGACGGAGGGCTCCTTAGAAGGCAGAGGCCTTCAAAGGAGCGTTTCTGTTGTTGTCTCGAAGAAGGTCAGAGGCCCTTGCCTTCTTTGAGGGCACGAGCCTTCTCAGAAAGCAAAGGCCGCCTGAAAAGGTCCTGAGGGAAACGGGTCTTGGACCCGGGGGCCTCCTCCCAGGATTCAGTCGGGCCTGTCCCCCTACAAGGGGATTTTCGACGAAAAGTAATACATACCC